GACCCCGCCGACCGGCCGCGTGAGGCGCCCGCGTCCCTTCGGTCCAGTGCGCGGTGGCGCCGGGACGGTGCTCTTGGACCCGGCCTCGCCCGCCCGAGCCGCGGGAGGAAAGTGGGAACTCTGGCACCTCCTGGCTGGGGCTCACGGGGTGGGCGTGTGTGCTGCGTGGCCTCGCCGTGAGGGCCGGCTCGTCCGTGGCTCCGCTCCGCCTACTGGCCGCGCTCGTGTCTAGAACTTCTGGTGGTCGGAGGCTGGCTCTCCGCCGGCTCTGGACGACGGCTGCCTGAGCCGAGCCCCGGCCCCCAGGCCTAGGAAGGAGGGACCCGCGGGCGGGGCGCGGAGAGACACAGGTCCTTTTCAAGTAGTTCTAGGAGCAGTTGAATGTCCATTCGCAACATTCTTCAAAAGCCTGGTGTATTTTCCTGGGTAATGTGTAATAATTTTGGTAGTTAAAATGCCTTTAATATTCACACATACAAAATATTCATGATGCCTACAAAGAGACTCCTTTATCAGACTGCTAACACTACCTCCTGAGAAGGTCACCACTGACAACCTTGGGAAGGACTTAGGCGTAGATGCCTGCTGCAGACCATCATTAAAGATCACCTGCTTCTGCTCATTGACTCTTTGAGCCTCTGATTCTTCTGGATACAGAATGCTTAAGTGACTTGGCAAAGATCTAAACTCTCAGTGCTGAGAGAGATTGTTTCTAATTGCAAAGAGAAAAGGAAAAGCCTGTGGGAGATGATGTCTGGGAGCAGGAGTGTGTGTGAGGGAGTGTGAGTGTGAAGGGGGCAGAGCAAACTGCCAGTTAAGTGGCCAGAATGGAATCACTGTTCTACAAGATAATGGCCCATATATATTTTGATTACCCTTTGCACAAAGCATGTGAATGTAATGCCTCATTTATATGATAGTTACAAATAGGGACCCTACAGATTTCAACTGTGGGAATTGTGTGTAGCGCAGTAAGTGTAACCGCAAGTGGCTGTGTGCATATTATTGGCCACTGAGAAAATGGGTACTTTTCATACATAGGTTCAAGGAGATGAATTGCAAATACAGTGCTTAATGGCAGAAAAGACTGCCCAGCTACGTTTTGAATTGCTCTCTGGCCCCTCAGATGGTACGCAATCCTGATCCTAGTTCAGTATTAGAAAGTGTAAGTGCATCACTGAGACTTGCTGTGGAAATGAGTAATTAGTTTATAATTGATGTATAGCTACATTTTTAAAAATGTGCTTATCATTAAGAATTCTTTAATTCTTCCAAGTCTTTTATTTTTATTATTTTTCTTTCTCTCTTTTAAAGGCTTTTTTATGCATACGAGAACTGGTGTATAGGCCAGACTTGTGGGAATGGGTGAGAGGATTCACCAGAGACAGAGTGGGGAACAGAACAGATAGATATACTGAAATACATTGCTGAGGGGAGCAGCGGGCGAAATAGGAGAGGTCTGCAGTGCCTTGTCCATGGTGCCAGCTTCCTGGCCATCTAGGGAGTGGTGCTGTGGCTGGCGACAGCCTGACAGCGTTGTCTTTAACCCCTGTGCTGCCAGGGAGGCCTCCAATTTTTAATATTTTATCATATAGTTTCCATAGTTGATCTAGTTTCTCTATCCTTTATTATAAATTATTCTTTTATGTTCAGAATACTTCCTTTTTAAAAGATATCAAACCTCTACATTTCCACAGGTTACTTTTTGTTTTTAACCTCAAATCTATTCTGAATTTAAGGAATAGAAAACCCCAGTGACGACCAGCTCCTAAGAAGGGTTTCCCTTTCTCAAACCCACTTCCCACCGATGACCTTAGGCCCTGTGTGGGGTCACACTGGCCCCCCTCCCTGCTTTTGTTCTGCTGCTCCTAGTGCACACCCTGCCTTTCTCTCCCTGCTTCTCTGCCTGCCTGTGGTCTGCCAGCATGTCTTCTTTTGGTCCTGTGTCATCCGAGAAACCGTCTCCTGTCAGAGTTTCTGTGTCTTCCGCGTCCCCACTGATTGTTTTGCCGCAGCCATGCCTGTCTCCCCTCTTGGTCTTGCCTCCCTTGGCCTTTGTGTGCCTCTCCTGGCTGTTCAGCTGTTCACCTGCCCCTTCCTGTGTGGCCAGGACTGTTATGAGCTCTGGGTGATACAGGAGCACAAGAGAGCAGTGGGGAGCGTGCCAGTGGGTGGTGGGCAGCAGGCCGCAGCCGCAGCCTAATCACTGACTGAGGGAAAGATGTGTAGTGGGGTGTGGGTGTGGGGGACGAAGGGTCATCGATGTGGTTGAGCCTTGTCTGATTGATGGTGAGGGCCCAGGTAGGGGTACTCCAAGCAACTGCTGAGACCTTGAGGGCCCCAGTGGGGTGAAGGGCCAAAGGCGACTCAAAAATGCAGTAGGCATACACATCTTTCCTGACAGGAGACTGTTTTTCAGATGACACAGGACCAAGAGAAGACATGCTGGCAGACCACAGGCAGGCAGAGAAGCAGGGAGAGAAAGGCGGTAGCTTGGTGAGGAGGCAGGAACCAGTTCCTCAGGGAGCAGGCATGAAGGAGGGGCCTGGAGACCAGGTCAGACAGTGATGGTGCTCTGGTGAGGCGAAGGAAGCCCGTCCCCTCTGGGCTTGGTTGGGCCACTGGGGTGGCCAGGGAGGAGCCAGCAGGGCTCCCGGGGGACCTTTGTTTTTCTTCAGCTGCTCCTGGCCCATTTTTCCATGTGCTTTCCCTGGGCTCTGTCTCCTCTACTCAGTGGTTCAGTGGCTGCTTCACTTCTCTCCACCGTGGGAGGTGTTATCCCCACCCAAGTCTCAGGGTCTATCCATGTGCAAGTCCAGCTCTAGCTGAAGCCACTGTCGCCGTCCCTATCCTGAGCCTGGGAAGGCTAGGCTGGTGCCAGCCTGCATGGCGCTGCTGACTCTCGTTTCTTAGCGCCAGCCCCTGGAGGACAGCATGGCATTCTTCAGTGAGCCCACAGTGCCTGCCCAGTGCAGCAGCTGTCCTGGTGTGAGCGTGCCCCAGGCAACCAGTGCAGGATGCAGTGGGACCAGGCTGCAAAGGTCAGAGCATCAGGGTGCTGCTGAGCCCACTGGGAGTCACACAGGCAGGTGGGGAGAGGTCGTGCTTGTGGTCGAGAGAAGCTTTGAATGGCTGACGTGTCTGATGTGCTTCACGTAGGCATGTCTGAGAGCTGGTGAAACCTACCACGTCATTACTTGTGGATGAGGCAGGTGTGGCAGAAATAGGAAGGCCAATGAACCAGCATAGGCTGGACCAGGGACTGGCCAGCCACGTGACCCTGGAGAGAGAACCAGTGGGACCCCGGCACCTTAGGGCCCGTTTCTCTTTTGCCCATGTGATTCAGCTTTGAGACATGAGTGTATCTGAGCAGCACTGGTGCCACCACCGGGTACTTATTTCCAGCAGACTTTCTCTCTGGAGGCTCTGTGCAGGGAGGACGGGGGACCCCTCCCGTGGCCCCTGCGAGGCTGGCTGTCTGGTGGTCTCTGAACATGCAGGCTGCTGGCTGCTCCTGGACAGCAGCAGTTGGGGGGGGGGGGGGGGAGTTGAGTTTCTCATACAGGGTCATTTTTAAGGAAGGTCCGTTTAAAATTTAACAGAAGTGGAGTGTTGATGTTTGAGTGTTGCTTTCGCCCTTTGACACACTGGAGGCCATGGCTGACCTGCGAGGAGTGTCCTTATGCTGGCGTCAGGCTGGCCACATAGTTCGGGTGACCCTGTGTGGTTGGCCCAGCCCAGGTCTGGTGAAAGCCAGCTCCACTGCAGGGGTCATGGGGCCGGCCCACAGCTAAAATGTAGTTTTGGCTTGTTTTTCTTGGTAATGATTGGAAAAGCAAAGACAGTGTCTGAGGGTCACTTTCCAATAGGGGATGTTTGCAGGATTCTAGACATAAGAAATGTGATTGTGAAAATCAATAAAAAATAAGGACACACTTCCCAAGTCCTCTGCCTCTGTAACTGGGTGGTCCCCAGGAAAAGGGGAAGTTCCAGGTTCCCTGCCCTACTCAGAAGGAGGGTGGAGCTGAGCAGAGAAAAAGGAGAGAAGAGAAGGAATCAGAGGGAAGAAGGAGGGAGGATGGAGAGCCAGAAGGAGACCTGAGGAAGCCACATGGAACAGCGAGCATGTGATGAAGAAACCATGCTTGTTTCCTGGTCCTGGACTGGTTAAGGCAGATGTGGGTGAGATACCTGCAGGGAGGTGACAACGGCAGTGTTCATATTGATTTTGCTCTTTTCCTCCCAGACTTGTCTGGCCATTTCTGACCCTTTTAATGGTCCCGGCCAGAAGGTGCTTTAGCCTTGTGGCAGGCTTTCAGGCCTTGCCTTGAGACAATCCCTTTTGGGTGGACTTTTACCCACGAGGAGATGAGTAACTTCAGGTGTTTGATTTAGACATTACATTCTTTGTGTTCCATATTGTATATTCACTGCATTAAAGTCCCTTTTCATTAAAATTTTATATGTTTTGTCTTGATGTGGCGGATGGCAGAGCCCACTTCGAGCAGGCAGGTTTGGGGCTTCAATGCTGCCCCTCTCTCCCTGTCCTGTAACACCTCCTCTGCAGCTCGCAGGCAGAGGGCCGTATGTACTCCAGCTCCTCTGGGACAGCTTCCAGGGTCCAGGGTGCAGCTTCTACTGGAGAGCAGCCAGTAGAGGCTGCCCTGGGTGCAGAGGCTGCCCTGGGTGCTTGGGCCTGCAGCCTCATCTGGGCCCCTCTGCTTGGCCAGCAGGCCACCTCCCTGATGTGTGAACCCCTTCAACAGCAATCTGCTTGCTTTTAGCATTTTTCTCAACCTTGGGGTCCTGGAAGAGCGAGCTGGTCACTTGTAGGGCTTATTGCTGTTGCCAGCCCTCAGAGATGCCTGGAGCCAGGGGGCAGCCACATGGGGAGGGCTGAGGATCTACCCCTATCCCCCATATCCTCCCAACCCTCCCCAGGGTGGAGCCCCTGCGGACATGCACTCACCCCTATCTCAGGAGCCGCAGCTGCTTGGCCCTTGGCCCAGCTAACTGTCTTATCTCAGGGAGCGCCTGGAGGGTGATGGCCCAGGCATCCTTGGGTGGTCAGGGAGCAGGGTTGATTTCTGGTGCAGGGAAGGACCAAGCAGCTTTCTAAACATGTTGATTAGATTGTGTAGGTTTTTCTGAGCTATTTTATTAGAATACTTTGTCCCCAAAATATTCCTAGTTGTGGATCAAGAAAGCTATGTTAAGATAATAAGAATGGATTTCATGAGGGTGTTGAGAGTTCCAGAATCTTATCTTGGCTCCACTAAGGGTGGAGTGGGGCGGCCCTTCTGGTATCCAGGCGACATCCAGAGCCCTCCCCTTCCAGAGTCTTCTGCAGGGTGTAGCTCTTTCCTTGCCTACCCCACTGATGTTGCGCAGCAGGTGCTTGGATAACCATGGGTTAGGGGCCGCCTCCCACAGCAATTTGCTGCTGGTTTGGCCATGTGACCTGACTGCTAAGGGCCCATCATCTGGCGCTTCTTGTCCCCCTGTTTGATTTCTACTCACCCAGCCCTCTGCCAAGCCTGCCCTGCAGAGCTTGCTGACCCCAGTGTGGACACTGCTGGCTATTCCTTAGGTAGAGGATGGATACTGGCTAATCTCATGAATGTTCCTGAAGAATATTGCACACTCTAGAAAAGTGGCCATGTCCAGTTTTGATCTTTGTGGAAAATGTGCAACACAAGCACTTTACTCCCTGGAGGTAAAGCCTGCTTGAGTTGTGCTCCCTTATGCAATAATCCCGGGTCACGGCTCCGAGCTGCCCGTGGCCCCACCCCTCCAGTTTTGCTTCCTGGAGCCTGCAGCTCCTTGTGGGATGGTACCGGCACAGGGTACTCGGCTGGCTGGTGGCTGTGGCTTACTCCGGGAAGTTCTAGTGTGTCAGTGCAGACATTTAAAAATCCAACTTGACATTTTGATTTTTTCATTTTAGTGTAGGAAAGACGATGATGGAGATGTGACAGTTGTTGTTGAGAAGGACCATTTTATGGACGATTTCTTTCACCAGGTGAGTTCCTGGGTGCAGAGGTCCCCCTGCTGACCCCCCACCTCCACCCCCGCCATGCATATGTCTGTGCTGTGTTGTATGTGAAATGAAGAGCATGCTGGCCTTGTTAGGGCACTGTGTGAATTCTATACATTCTCTAGAATTTTCAGTGCATACAAAATGGGCGTTACTGTGGCCCTTCTCCCTGGGAAGCGGCCTGGATGGTGGCCTCAGGAGGGGTGCATGGATGGGCCCTGCAGGCAGCTTGATGGAGTGGTAGGGATTATCCTTGTATTTCCCTTCTGCATTCCTTCTTTCTAGGTAATGAGAAATGGTATGAATTTGAATTGGCTGCTTTGGTGGTGACTATCTCATCTTGCTTCTAGGTTGAAGAGATCAGAACCAGTATAGCTAAAATAGCTCAATATGTTGAAGAAGTAAAGAAAAACCACAGCATCATTCTTTCTGCGCCAAACCCAGAAGGAAGTAAGTTGTCAGCTCCACGAGAAGCTTGCCATCTCCTCTCTTGGTAGCTGTCACTCAGGCTGGAGCCTGGGGCACCCACCTTGGATTCAGGGGCTGCAGCTGGTTTGTTCCCTCTCCTGCTGGCTTCTGGTGGCCTCTGGCCCGACAGCATGCACGAGGGGTGTGGACGGGGCGCTGCAGAGCCTCGGCCACCTGGGCTGGCCCTGAGAATGCTTGGCCCACAGTGAGGCTGGTAGGCAGCGCTCTTATGATAGGCGGAGGTGGCAGGAGAACAGCCTGTACAACCACACATGCTAGACCCAGGTCAGGGACTGAGAGCACCAGGTGCTGGAGTTGTCAGCCTCTGTTGGAGAGCTGCCTGAGGGCAGACACGGTCAGCTGAATGGCAGGGATGGCAGGGAGAGGCGATGTCTCCATGACTTGACAACCTCGAGGGCGAGCTGGATCTGGGCTGGCGGGGCTGCATGTGGTCGAGTGTGCGGTGCGTGGTGTCCTCTGCTTAGCCCTCCCCGCCTGAGTGCTCCTCATTCACTCAGTCTTCACGGCTGCCTCTCCCCCAGACAGTGGCTGCAGCTGGCACCCCTGGGCTCCAGCCCCCATTTGGGGAATAAGGGCTGCGGGTAGACTGGGTGGGCCTGGGTTTGCATTTCCATGTCCTCATTTTAGAGCTGCAGGATAACCTTGGGGTGATGGAGGCTTTTTTAAGAAAGCAAACTTAAATATCTGCCAAGGTTGTTGTTCTGGTTACGTTTTTCAGAATGTTGTTGATGTTGGATATCACAGCTCCCCTTTTTTTATTTAAAGAAATAAAAGAAGAGCTTGAAGATCTCAACAAAGAAATCAAAAAAATTGCAAATAAAATTCGAGCCAAGTTAAAGTGTGAGTTTTGATCATGTTTGATTATTGATGTTACAAATGTGTGTACCTGTCATTTCTGTGTAACTTTTTATCCTTTTACATTTTTTTTTTAAGATTTATTTATTTATTTATACAGAACTGGGGTACAGGTCAGAGGTGCAGGGGCGGTGAGAGGATTCACCAGAGACAGAGTGGGGAGCAGAACAGACTGACTGACAAAGTATACTGCTGAGGGGAGCAGCAGGCAGGTCAGGAGAGGTCTGCCGCGCCATGTGGTCACCTCCAGGGCAGGAATTGAACTCCTGCTGAAGTGGCTTTAGCTTCTTGATGCTGTGCTTTAACCTGCTGTGCCACCAGAGAGGGCCCCCCTTTTACATTTTTTTAAAGTCACAGCTGTGAGCCTTTGAGACCACTGCGCTAGATGTGCTTGGGCCCAGCATCTTGTCAGCAGCTTCACACAGGTTTCCTGTGGGGAGTTGGGCCCTTGGGTATTAGCTTCTAAATCTCATGGAGAAGCACTGATGTGTGTTCAGCAAGCTAAGCTCTTGCCCATAAATTGATAATCTCATATAGTCATACATTTGATGACATTGGCTAAATTGCAGATGTTAAAGTAAGTTTCTACTTTTTCTTGAGTGGTTCTTACAATTGGCAGGTTCTTTTGATTATCTGCTGCTGCTCAGCTGGCTTGTGGTCAGGGTCTTGACCTGAGTCCCCTTCTCCCCCCATGCCCGCTGATGGCTTCCCTGTTTCCTGGGAGCTGGGGACCCTGCCGTGGTTATACCTCTGCCCCAGGCCTGTTCTCTGGGGAAGTGCCTCTGGCTTCATGTGCTCTCAAGGAGTCGGGCTTGGATCTGCAGTGCTGTGTCGTTGTGTCCCAGGCTTTCACATGGAGGATGAAGGAAGGACCTGCCTTCTCACCGACACCTGCACTTTCCTCTTGGCAGACCCCAAGAGTGGCCGCTGGGGCGGGGGCCACAGGTCCTCGTGTTCCTCTGCAGGCGTACCCTGCCAGGCAGTGATAGGCTTTCAGGTCACTTTGAATAGTTCTTTGTGTGACTGTCTCCGGCTTGATCCATGGTTAAGTTTATGCGTTCTGTTTTCTTTTTTTAGTATTTCATTTTTCTCACTAGTCACATGAAGTATTTGCACTGGTCAAAATCAAATCTGTAACTAGCAAATTCACAGAAATCTAGTTTCTGTGCCTGCTCTGCCTTATTTTTGTTTTTATCTAGCTGGTAGCCTTTTTTAAAAGATTATTAAATCTTATTATTTTTAAAAGATTATTATAGGTTATCTTTTCTTTTTTTTTTTTAAGATTTATTTATTCATATAGAACTGGGGTACAGGCCAGAGATGCAGAGGGTGAGAGGATTCACCAGGGACAGAGTGGGGAGCAGAACAGGCAGATGGACGAAATACACTGCTGAGGGGAGCAGCGGGTGGGTCAGGAGAGGTCTGCCACGCCATGTGGGTCACCTCCGGGGTGGGGATCGAACTCATGCTTCAGTGGCTTTAGCTTCTTAGTGCTGTGCTTTAACCTGCTGTGCCACCAGGGAGGACCCTATTATAGGTTATCTTACCTTTTTTCCTTTTAACCAAAAGATGTTTATCAAAAAGTGGCAGGATATTTCCTTTAGATGGATAATCTTATTTTAGAAGGTCATCACTATTCATTAACTTTAGTTTTATGAAGAGGGAATCTTCAGAGATAAAGAAAATCAATTTGAGGTTTGATTTGAAGGATTTTCAGTTTTTGGTCTGAAAAGAGGCTCGTTCCTGTTTGTTTCCAGCTATTGAGCAGAGCTGTGCTCAGGATGAGACTGGTGGCCGAACCTCAGTGGATCTGCGGATACGGAGGACCCAGGTGAGGCCCACGGCGTATCTTCCTGGGCACTGTCCTCACGTGGCTAAGTAGATGGACGCTTCTGTGTCATGTAGGGAAAAAGCTCCTCAGCCCTGCAGCAGAATTCAGTTCTGATGCGCAAGGGATTAGCCACATCATTTGAGCATCATTTGAGTGTGCCAGGGAGGCTTGCCTCTGGGAGGGGGAGGCCACGCAGCAAGCCTGGACCCTTGGCTCTGCTCCTCTTAGCATGGGTTCTGGGCTCTCAAGCCTGGGTCCCCCACTTGGTCCCATGGCCTGGTAACCAGCTCACCCTGTCTCTAAGGCTCAGTAGGGTGTAGACAGCCACTGGGAGGCCCACTGTGGAGAGGCTGGTCAGTCTTGAGCAGTGGGTACCATCAGGCTGCCTCTGCTGGGGGTGAACTGCAGTGTGGGTTTCTGTTGCATTAATGTCTGCCCTTGTCAGTTGCAGAAACAACCATTACAACCTAACCCTGTTTCTGTATCAGTAGCATTCCGTTCTGTCTCGGAAGTTCGTCGAAGCAATGACTGCATACAACGAAGCACAGACTCTGTTTCGGGAGCGAAGCAAGGGCCGCATTCAGCGCCAGCTGGAGATAAGTGAGTAGGTGGGCCTGTACTGGGAAGATGTGTTTATTCCTGAGGGTCACGCATCAAAGTGCTGTATCTTCCAAGAGTAATTCATCTCTGTAGTGGCCAGTGTTGTACAACTTAAAGCCCTCTCATGGCTCCCTGTTCATTGACTTGGCCAAACCTTTTGTTTATGTACATACTTCAGAAAACTCTTGAGTGGACCCTACATTACCTTCTGACTTCTATGACTTTGAGGTGTGAATCTAATTTGGAAAACTTCCAGCAATTATTTATTTGCCTTATCTGCTGTGTCCCCAGCCCTTGGGAGCAGCTTTACATGGGAGTATGGTTTTATTCTCTGGGATAGACAGGGCTGCCTCTGTCAGGATGTGGTGGCCTTCAGTTGGAGGCATCTGCTGATGGAGAGAGGTCAGGTGGGCTTGGCTGCTTGTACCATGCCAGGTCGGGGCTTCTTCAGCTTTGACATCAGGCAACAGCTCCCTAGCTTCTCTGTGGCCTCATAGACATGGGGAGCCAGGGGCAGCTGCTCCCTAGACCTCGCTGAGTGACGAGTTGGCCAAGATAGTTGACTTGGCATGGGGTGGGGGGGGTGTCGGGCAGGCCGCTGCTCCACCATCCTCAGTGCAGTCAGGTCCCTAGCAACCCGGTGCCTGGAAGGAGCCCGAGGTCAGCTGCCCGCGCCTCCGTGGCCCCCACTCCACCCCCTGGTCCTCAGAGCTGCACTCCCAGAGATTTCGCACCTACCATGGTCTGGGATGGTCTCTCCCTGCCAGGGCTTGGGCTATCAGCTGGGCTTATTCCACTGGCCCTTCCACAGGCACTCCCTCTTCATGGACCTGCTGGACGGCATCTACTTTTCATCTTCCTTCAGGCCCTGGACGGTTGGGTTCCTGCTTTTTGGCAGCTGTGAACCCTAATCATTCACATCAAATGCCATTGAAGTTAATTATGTTTGTCCACTTAACTTTATCTTCTGTGACACAAATTGTGAAAAGTAATCATTATAGATTTTTCCAAAAATCTTTGAGCATGTTTTCTAGAGAGTGCTAGTGCATTCATTCTTAAAAGGGAAGGAACTGATCTCACAGAGAGTGTTAGCACCAGAGTGTGGCTGTGTGTGCTGAATTCAGCTTAGTCCCTTTTCCATAAGTTAGAGTTGTAACACTTAGGAAAATGATGTGCCAAAAATCACTGTTGGTTTCCTTTTTATAGTTGTTTTTATTTTTTTAAGATTTACTTACTTGTACATACAGAACTGGGGTACAGGCCAGAGGCTCAGGGGTGGCGAGAGGCTTCACCAGAGACAGAGTGGGGAGCAGAACATGCAGATCGATGAAGTACACTGCTGAGGGGAGCAGCGGGTGGGTCAGGAGAGGTCTGCCGCGCCATGTGGTCACCTCCTGGGCAGGCGGGAAACGAACTCATGTGGAGGTGGCTTTAGCTTCTCAGTGCAGTGCTTTAACCCGCTGAACCACCAGGGAGGGCCAATATAGCTGTTTTTTAATCCCACTGAATGAGATTTTATTATTCACCTGATAAGGGCTTTTTTTTTATTTCAATTCTTCCTGTTGACATTAATTTCTCCCAGCATTGTAGCACTGCCTAAGGAGATAGACATGGAAGGCCAGAGAAATATTGTTTAAAAATGTTGACAACCTCTGAATGTTGACAGCCTGTTCATTTTCAGTATTGCTTCTCTGAGTGACCTCTTTGTTATACTTCAGCTGGAAAAACGACCACTGACGATGAGCTGGAGGAGATGCTGGAGAGTGGGAGCCCTTCCATCTTCACCTCTGATGTGAGTGCACCTCTTGGCTGGCGCAGGGGTGCATCTGCCTAGCTCTCAAGAGGCATCTATCTGGCTTCTTTCCTATCCCTTCCAAACCAAGTTCACAAGTATTTTCTCTCATTTTTTAAAGATCATATCAGATTCCCAGATCACTAGACAAGCTCTCAATGAAATCGAGTCCCGTCACAAAGACATCATGCGGCTAGAGACCAGCATCCGGGAGCTGCATGAGATGTTCATGGACATGGCTGTGTTTGTGGAGACCCAGGTAAGCGGCATCTGCCTGCAGCACAGAGCAGGCTGCCCAAGCCAACTTTCTATGTAGAAACTCATGTTTGGTTCCAGTTTACCTGGGAGAAACATTATTTTGGATCCTGTCTCAAAGTTCTGAAGTTGACCATGGCCTTAGGGCTGTGAGACTGAAATGTTGGTGTTATCCCCTCAGTGGGGCTGTACCGTAGATTAACACAGGCTGCCAGATGGCCACGAGCAACACAACCTTGGTGTGGAGCGCTTTTAATGAGGTGTAGAAGTATGGGTGCCAGGCCCCATGTAGGCCGTGTGTGTGTGCACGGAGGACGGGCTCCTGCATCTGGATGGGTGTGGCGGGAACTGTCATGTGAGGTGCTCACCGGAGGAGAGAAACATGCTTAACAGCATAGCACTGGGTCTATGGGGATTTTGACTTTTTTCTCTAAAATAGGTGTATTTTTAAGCTTTTTTCAAGGAGCATGTGTTAGAATAATAATTGAGAGAAATGTCCAAAGCCCGGGATACTTTCCACAGCTCAGGTAGTGCCTGTGCATGTAACATGGTGGTCTGTCCAGAATGGGGCAGTGCTGGAGGGGCTGGGGGACTGTGCATAGACCCTCTCGAAGAGCTGAGGTGAGATGTTGACATCAGTGCTGGATGGGCACCTGCTTCCTGTGGGGTGTCTGCATTCAGTGCAGGGCCTATGGAGGGGCTGAGGCCCTGGCTTGCGTTTGGGAGCTGTAGTCCAGGGAGTGTGCTCCTGGCTGGCTGCTTCTGGGTTCTGGGCACAGGCTGGCCGTTTTCCACCTGCATCTCTCACCTGTGAAGTACTACCTATTCTGATACATAATGTGTGTGAAAAACTGAGGTGCTCTGCACTGTAGAAGCCAGCAGGTGGGGTTGGGGCAGCTGGGTGGGTCTTTGGACATGGGTGGTCCTGTGGCTACTTGGGGCTGGGAGTGTGGGGACCTCCCAGGACCAGTCCAGAAGGACCAGCTAGACCGTGAGGCTGTGCAGTTAGCTTCTGGTCAGAGGAGGCCAGTTAGCACACCTTGCCTATTAGTGATGGCTCTGGCTAGACGTTAAGGTAGCCGCCTACCTGCCCCCAACCTGGGCCTGACGCCCCTTTGATCAGTGTGTGTATGGTCAGAACTTATGAGGAGCTTGTGTCTGTGACAGCAAGTGGGCTGTGTGTCACTCTTCTCTGCTCTGTTCCCCACTGCTTCAGAGTGTGATTGCTGATGGACGAGCGCCAGGTAACGAGTCTGCTCTGACATTTCACCTAGTTCTCTTTATTTCACATTTTTGCTCATTAATTAGTTGATTTTGTGTCAGACATAAGTTTTTCTCGGTTGATTTGCTATTTTAAAGAAATGGGCGCCGGTCTTCTACCCACTAGAAGAGATGCTGCTCAGCACCCCATATCATATGTGACGGTTCATCCTTCACTCCCCTATGTTCCGCCCTCGCCCTGCTGGTCTCGGAGCCTGCCTGCCTCATCCACACCGCCCACTCCTTTCAGTTCTTTTTAAAATACAAATTAAACCCTGTTCACTTTGGCTGCAACATTGGTCACCTCCATCTTTGGTGAATGTGTCCGCCAGGCCCTGACCACTGCGCGCCCAGGATGTCCACATGGGGCCTCGCCGGTGTCCCTGTCATAAGATATTCCATGATGGCATCTGAGAATGTCACCTAAGTTGGAAACTTTTTGCTTTAAGGGTGAAATGATCAACAACATCGAAAAAAATGTCATGAATGCTGCAGAATACGTTGAACATGCTAAAGAAGAAACTAAAAAAGCTATTAAATACCACAGCAAAGCGAGAAGGGTGAGTTTGGTTTTTACGAATGAAAGTGATGACTTTTTCTCTTCATCTGATTTCAAGTTGTAACACATTGATCTAAGCCTACTTAAAGGTGTCCGTGAGAGAAAACATGCTTAAAGCAGTGTTTCATTGTGCTAATTTCTTTGGCAGTTCATTAGATAAATTGTGTGACTCTGATTCCTTTTGTGTCCCAGATATTTAAAACCCTCCACAACCTAATGCCAGGGTGTTTCCCTTCGCTGGGGGCACCACAGGCAGAGTCCCCTGTGAGGCCTGGAGAAACGCACCCCCACGCTGTTACTTGGTCTGGGTCCCAGCCTCTCCTGCTGCCTGAGCTCCCCTTCCCCTGACCTTGAAAGACAGCATGGAGTCAGTGCGACTCGGCAGCTTGCTTTTCTTTGACAGAAAAAGTGGATCATCGCGGCTGTGTCTGTGGTTCTGGTGGCTGTGCTGGCCCTGATCATCGGCCTGTCGGTTGGCAAGTGAGGCAGATGCTGCGTTGCGGCTCTGCGGCAGGTAAGTAACTCCTGCTGCTGCCTGTGGTGTGACACCCCAGACAGCTGCCTGCTCAGACCCCAGCATCCCCTCATGCTCGCCTGGCTTGTGAGGCCATGCCCAGTGGGTGCAGTGCTCGATGAAAAGCAAACACAGGAGCTGTGGCTTGTCTCTTGCAACCTGGGGTGGTTGTGGCAATGTGGTTGTCATCATCCTTGTCTTTCACTGTGGAATCCACAGAACAGAACCAAGCTCTGAAAATCAGCTAGCGAAACTAACATTCTCCATCTAACTTGTTAATGTTTGGCAGCAGCTACTTTGTTTAAAAATCTGTCCTTATTAAAATGGAAACCACATTTAGTCAGCTCACCTGCTAGTTCTGCGGGAGGACCTAGCCCAGTGCCCTGAAGTCATGGGCTCATCGTGGGACTCAGATGACAGGGTTCCTGGGAGCCTGTCCCTGAAGGGAGGCCGCAGGTTCTCCGTGGGGCCTGATGGGGACTTGTGTCCCCAAGTCCTTGTGTCAGGCTCTGTCACCACATCCACCACCACTTGTGCTGCCCAGGTCCCGGCCTCCCCAGGACCTTGTCACACCTGAGCTTGTTCAGCACCAAGCTTGAGCGTGGGCTTCTGCTGTACCAGAAGGCAAGTCCCTGGGTCTGTGGGCATCAGGCTGGTGTCTCTGTATCTTTGCCGAGGCTTCCTGGTGGCACTGCCCAGGCAACAGCATGTATGGCCTTGCTTCATTTATACAGCATTCAAACAGTATTTTTGAAATTCTTTCTAAAATATGTGTTTCCCTAATTTTTCCTAGTGGCATTCAATGCCTGGATGTGGTTATACTGCAGGTAAAATTGCAGTGGTTAGCATGGCCCAGTGGAGTGAGCTGCTTGTCACGAGTGCTGTTTGACAGAAAGCCCTGCTGCAGGTGTGGGGGGGGGGGCACGGCCCAGAGTCCTGAGCCCCAGCACTGTGTGTACTTCCTGGGGACACCAGAGTAGTTGTGTCCAAGCGCTGGTCCCCACACAGGCCTGCGGGTGTGGGTGGCTCTCTGAGGAGGGGTTTTGGCCTGTGGCTGCAGCTGCTCCATAGCAGGAGGCCAGGAGGTTGACCACGCATGTTCTTGGGTCTCTCAGTGTTCCGAGGAGTTTGCACTGAGGCATGCACCACACCTCAGTGCAAAGAAGTGTAAATAAGATTTTTCAGCAGATGAGAACTAGATTCAGTTAAACCTTCAAAGGCTGTGAGCACAGCTGAGAGGAGTCGGGTGGGGCCGGTGACAGGAGAGCCCACTGACTTGCCTGTTCCCTCCTGGAGCAACGAGTGGTTGGACCTGGTGCTGCTGGGTTCATGTAGCTTAAGACAGTGCGTCTGTAGCAGTATTTTGCCTTTGGGACTGTTTTTCCACTCCTCTTCCCAAGGCCTTGAAGTTTCCTTTGATGATGGACTTGTACTTTAAACGCTGATTCTGGGAGAACTTTATCAGGAAATAATTATCAGTGGTATATTTACTTTGACACTTTACAAATTAATGTTTTTCTTTATCTTGCAGAAAATGATGTTCATTATATTTTGTGTAACTATTCTGCTTGTGACCCTTGGAGTGACCCTAGTGACAACACTGTCCTAGCAGCTGTAGCTGGGGCCATCTCTCCCTGGAGTGGGTCGCATCTCAGGAGAGTCAGTCCCCGCTCTCGAGCGGCCCTGCTTGGTGACTGGCTCTGAGGGCTGCTCTTGGGCGCAAAGGAGAAACCCACAGGTGTTCAGGGAGAGAAGCAGGAGAATGGATGTGGTGATTCACTCAGAGATGCTTGGACTCTAAATAACAGCAGAAAATTATGCCACAGAGAACTTGTTTCAATGGCCTGAAAATAAGGAATTACTGAGAATTTCAATTTTTTTTATATTTCAGTGTTAAAGATACATGTGAAGCTTAATTAGGAATATTTTATGTTACGAAGTTGTTAGCTTCCTGGTTGAAGATGTCTTCCTTCCTTCCTTCTGGCTGACCTAATTAAGAGACGCTTTGTACTATGTTCCATTTTTTTATTGTTTGCAAAAATAATTTTTTATCACAGAACTTTTTTGTAATATATCTGTAATTTTAAGTGTTTATTGTTTAATATATTAACACATTCATTGGCTCTGCTTTCATATGTTAAACACGGCCTTTTAAAGGGACAGGGAGCTTCAGGATGAGCAGCCCTCTCAAGGAGCAGCCCATTCTTTGGCAAAGAAAACACTGGCAAAGCACCCCCAGAAGCCTTGTGCCTTTTGTTGCTGTTGACTGAGTTCACTGGCCCTCCCGACCTCTGAGCAGCTCAGGTCCTGAGCTCTACTCCATCCTGCCTGTCCTGCCCTCATGACACTGAGCGAGCCCCTGCCCTGGAAAGACGATGTCTCTTCACGGCTCTGTGAGAGAACCATGCTTCTGTTTGCATCAGTAAAGTCTGAATTTAATCAAGATGGTGATGCAACCGAGAGGTAGTTCTTCCACACCTTGAGCTGTGTCTCCAGGTGAGCTCTGACTCAGGCTTCTGCAGAGACACTGTGAGGGCCCGCTTTCTGCAGAACCCCCCAAGTCGGCTCCCACATCTCATAGGATCGTAACATCTGTGTGGCGCGTTACGCCTTTGAGCATTGTGTGGTTTGCTGTTAGGCCCATAGAGTGTTTGGAATCTTACAGCAGATGGACATCTGTTAAGGCAGCAACTGTTAAGGCAGTTGAAACTGTGAGCAGGCCCGTGAGGGGTGTCCGTGCCCACAGCTGTGCTGTGGCATTACTGGGCTTGAAGGTGAATGTGGGCCCTGAGCTCCGGTGACAGCCGAGGCCTTGGTCTCACTTGCTACAGTCATGGACTCCC